AGAATGATTAAAAATCATGCTCCACATTTCATTTCGTCCACACAATGGCTTTCGAATTCGCCAGATGCAAATCCGTTGGACTATTGAAGAGCAAGGTGAGGACTAAAAAATATATCAGTATGCATGCGTTGAAGAAAGGCCATTGTTCAGGAATAGACCAAAATACCTAAAGGTCATATTCGTGAAGTATGCAACTCATTTTTTAACCGTTGGAAGGCCATACGGTTAAAAAAGGCGAAAGTAGCCACGTCAAGCTAAAATGGATAGATTCTGAAGTTTTGATTATTTATACAAATTTTTATAATTTGATTCAATAAAAAATTCTGTCATACAAAAAAGATATCGCCTAACCCTGTAGTATATACGTAGTCAATGTATTGTTTTTATCTCTAAGTCAGTTTCTTTCATATACGTTATATAATAAAATTTTTTAAGTAGTATTACTTCAAAGAGTTAAGTTTGCTGTAAATAATAATAAAAATAATTGACTTGTTGCCCTCTTTATTTTATTATCCAATAATACATGTTATCATTATATTTACCTCTTACATTGTTTAAGTACGAATATCTACTTATCTTCTATCTTTGACATATTTAAATATTACAAAGAAATTCTATTTTCTAGACGACTTAATATTTATAATAAATTATTGCATTAAAAGAAATTTTGCATGTAAGTTTATTTCCAAGAAGCTTAAAAATAATTATGCATTCGTCTGCAGTGATTATCATTGACGTATGAAAATAAAGTTCAATATATCAAAACAATCTCACTTTATGGGCTTAGCTGAGCTACAGTTATCAAGTAAGTTCACTTAGAAAAAGATACGAATTTCAAATTTAGCAAATACAAATATAATTAGTATCATGATATATTAATTTATGTTAGGTAGTACAGATATTTACGTATTAATATAATAGTATCTTTGCACTTGTCCCTCTACTCTTAACTATATGTATGCTCTCTATAGGACAGTCGATAATTTTAAGAAGTTACCCACACGACTTTGTGTAGTATAGGTAATCATACAGTTGATAAAGCGATGGAAAAAAAATTTTAAATGTTATTTTAGAAATATTTCTAGATTTGAATGTATAGGTATGAAATACAATCAGATCATGCAAATGATAATTGATCATGTGAGTTAATTGAAGGCCAAATTAAAACCAAAAGAATGTTACCACTGTTGCAACACTGTTTCAGTGACGTATGTGAAAAACATCTATCACCCACTATCTATTATGTCTATAGTTTAAGGTACACCAATTTACAATATGAATCGTTGAATAACAAATAAACGTATAAAATGGTGAAATCTTACAACAAAAATAGTAACTTTGTGGTATATATAATAAATATAGTGATTCTATAGATTGATTTCGCCTAGATATTTCATCAGGAATGAGGCTCATTTTTCATATAGTAGCTAATCCATATCTAAAATATCTAAGAGTAACTGCTAAAAAATCATTACTTTACTTTATTATGTGACATTTGGGTTACATTTGTGTGATAGGTTTGTACTATCTTCAAAATAACATGCCGGCAATCGATACCATCTGATAACTACAGTCATATGATCACCAACACAATTTTTGGAAATTTAAGATATAGATGTGGATGGTATATGGTTTTAACAGGACGGTGTCACTTAACAACTTTAATGAATAAAATCCCTCCAAAATGAATCGAAGAATTATATTTATATGTTGCTATGCATTCACTAATAATTCAATATAATGCATTAATCATACTTTTTAATTACCACAATTATCTGAATACCTTTCCTCTACCTATGGGCCAGCGCACATTGCATCCTGTATTGGCTTTATTGCACGAAAAATATCCCATATAGGTAATTTCACATATTGGTGAACTGAGTTGAGTGCAAAGATCACGGCTGTCATAATTCTTTTTAAAGATTTATTAAAAGTAATCAAGAAGAAACACCGAACTTTCGACAAACTTGTGATGTGATACTATCCAAAATTTTAAAGTCTATAATTTTTATAAATTTTAATCATTTGAGATTATTTGTATTCATTTTAATCTGTCCAATGCAAGAACAATGTATTTATGGAAACACTTTTCGTTTTTCCATTCGCTACACTTACTCTATTAGTAATCAATCACTATTCAGGATTTGACATTGACAGGAACCTATCTCAACTCATCGGAAACTTGTTGATCTTCTGATTTTCTGAATTTGAATCTAATTAATTTGATTCAACTAGGTTTTAACCAAATCTCAGATCAAAATATTTTCACTCGTCGCATCATGTTGGTTCCACCATACCAAATATTTATTTCTTCTTAACCACATGAGCTAATATTTTTCTAACAAAATTGGTCAGGTCAATTTTACTTGTATGTGTTTAGAGCATATTTTTTTGAGTGCAGTTTAGCTACAAGTTATGAAATATTATCTCCTTCTAAGCTGCGACGACTCTTTGTTACATTGGACAGAACGGTTTTGCGAACGTAGGTTGTCGATCTTAACTCCGTTTTACTAAAAAGAGACGTCTCCCTGTAGCTGCAAAAACAAACTAGATCTTTAATCTTGTGTTCATAGGAGTATCGCACCAGAAACGATTTTTTTGGCTAATATCCAATAATTTTCAAGAAACTTAGTTGTGATCCTTAGAGAACAATCAAAATAAAATTTTTTTTAAATGCTTTTCATTCAAATCGTTATGTTGTTATAACAACTATAAAGTAAACTTTAATAATGAGAAGAAATATATACCCACTGGTACACCTTAACGATGTTTTAATCCCCCAATCTACCCACGCGTAATATTTAGGGATACACTTTGACACAAAACTAACTTAAAAGCACTATATTTTTACAAAAAGAAAAGTACTTGGCATCAAACTGAGGGAGCTCTACTGGATACTGAACAAAAGTTCAAAGCTGTCAATCGAAAATAAACTTTTTATCTACAAAGCTATACTTAAGCCAATCTGGACTTATGGCATTGAAGTCTGGGGAACTGCCTTAGTATTAAATGATCCTAGATATATGACAATTGAATGTATACATCGCGATCTTAACATTTCCGTAGTTAAGGATGTTATAAAAAGCCATGCCAGAAATCATAAAAAAAGAATGTTACATCACCTCAACCATTTCATTAGTAGAATTATAGCAGAAGGAAGAACGTTCACACGTCTCCGCAAACAAACACCACTGGAATTTTAGTCTGTGACTGACTTCAACAGACGGATGTGCTACTGAGCACAGTCCATTCAAGCCCACAAATATTCCACTTACTCTTAAATATTGTTTATTCTCTATTCTTAAGTGACAGAGCGCAATAAAAGAAAGTATATTAAAAAAAATCATTAAAAGTGGTGTTCACAATTACGAGTAACAAGCTCGAACCGAGTAATCGAATCGGATGTTGCCACAGCAACAAAACAAAACAAATTTGTGTGTTTGTATTGTTGCCACTTTGCTTTGTTGCTGTGAG